ATGTTTAATGAATAAAATGAATAAATGAATAAAATAATAACAACAAAAACAATAATACCACCACCTTATATCGGAATTTGCAGCAAGAGTCACACAACGTTCCCAGCAATATTGCAGGAGTCTATCTAATCTTTCCCAGGTTGGTGGCTTGAAAATTTGAGGTTCAATGTGGGATTCCACACTGGATTCACCAGGTCTGAAAGGCAGATAATCTTTCTTTAGTCAAAGGAAGGGGTTGTGCTTCTCAGTGTTGTGTAGGTCTAAAATGCACAGAACATTGGGCAATAAATAGAAAACAAAGCCAAGACTGAAATTCTGTTGCTGGTTGGAAACTAGATTAGGAAATTGGGATTCAGATATTTGGATAAATTTGTACTTCCATTGGAAACAGGTGTGCAGGCTCGGGATATTCCTTGAATTTCAGGTGTCACCATTGACAGATGATGGGTGTGACAAACAGTGAATTTATATAATGTATAATGCATTTGTCTAATTGAAACTAATGTACCAGATGACCTAGCTAGATTGGGCACTAATTATTATCCTCAGCTTGGATACACTGCATCCTTTCTTAACTATTGCGACATGTGCTTTGTGAAACTTCCCTTGAAAAGCAGATTGAAGTTAGAATTAGTGAAAAATATAATTTAATTATTTTATTCCTGTTTTAATTGCCTCCTATTGGAATACAATATTTATATGGTTTTTATGCTTTTAATTGTACACTGCCCAGAGTTGCTGTGTGAGTGCGATGGGTTGGTCTCTAAATTTGATAAATAAAATATCGCAGAGAGACCTCCCTGGTTGCCAATTGTTTGCCAGGCACAATTCAAGGTGCTTATATTAATCAAGTTCAAACCTACAGTACATGGCACTTGGAGGAAAGATGCCCTCTGACTGTCTACAGGAGACCCAAACCTCACACACTTCTGGCCTTAATGTTTTGAAAACAGGTTGAAAGGTGGCAAACAACATGATTATAATTGTTCATGGAGGCATGAGAAAGGCAAACAATTAGTTTGTGAAACAGAGACAAGAAAAAGTGGAGGCAGGGAATCCCCAGGTTATTATTTACCATAGGACAAGCTTCGTGCCTTTATCTTTAAAACCAAAATTGTTGCCATCTTTTGTTGCTTATTTTGCAGCAATAACTTTGCAGTTCGGGTGACTTATTGTTGAGATTTATGTTCCAAACGGGTGATTAGGAACTACTGAAATAAGTCACATTGGAAGAATGAATATGAGAACATATTAAGAGACTATCTGGATACCCATGCTTCACTACCAAGCTATGTGATTGGGCTTGATAAATTGACAGAGAGATTGTGTAGATGCCCAACTATCCTCCAAATTGTTTACAAACAATGCTTTATCGTTCTTGAGGATATTGTCATATCCATGTCGGGTAAAACACTCCTACACTTCCGATTTCCACCACCTTCACGAGAGCAAGGAGCTGTTGTCAGCAACCATCAATACCTGAGTGAACTGTCTTACAATACTGTTCAGCTGACAGAAGCAGATGCTGTGAATGTTCCAAAATTAAATCAAGAACAGAGGAAAGCCTACGATGAAATCTTGCACAGTATTGCTTCTGATTCTGGGCAGAACATTCTTGATCAATCTGTTGCTGACCAAAATTAGGGGTAGAAGGAATATTGCCTTTGCCGTTGCTTCCTTTGCCGTTGCTTCCTACCTTGATCGACGGAGGCAAGATGGCTCACTCTGCCTTCAAGTGTTCTCAGCCTTTTCAACCTGAATCATTCTGAGCCTGCACTTTGTAACATCTCTAAGCAGAGTGACATGGCTCAGGTGCTTCGAGAAGCCAAAATTATCGTGTGGGATGAGTGCACCATGACTCACAAAGGAGGTGTTGAGGCTCTAAACAGTACGCTCCAGGACGTTAGGGGCAGCAACCGTCTTAGGGTTGGATTTACTGTGTTTTTGGCTGGTGACTTCAGACAGACGTTGCCTGTTGTGCCACGAGGAACATGTGCAGATGAAGTCAAGGCCTGCCTCAAGTCATCCATCTTACGACCTAATGTCAAAGTCCTGTCCTTGAGAGTTAACATGTGTGTCCACCTTCAACGTGATTTGAGGGCAGAAGAGTTTCCTAACTTATTATTTGATATTGGTGATGGCAAGCTTTTGGAAGAGGAGGGAAGAATAACTATTCCAAGTAACCTTTGCAATGTTGTGAGAGATCTGATCAGCTTGACTGACAGAATATACCCCAACATTCATCAGGCTGGAGTGGATTGCACTTCATGGCTGAGGGAAAGAGCTATTCTCATTCCAACAAACAACTCAGCCAACAGCATCAACAACTTTCTTTTGGAGAACCTGTCCACTGAGCATATGAAGTATGAATCTGTGGACTTAGTAATGGAGGTCGAGGATGCTGTACATTACTCTGTGGAGTTCTTCTACACTCTCAACCCACCAGGATTACCATCTCGTCCTCTACCTCAAAGTTGCTGTTATGCAATCCAGCCCCTCCGAAACTAGTAAAGACTCTGTACAAACCCATAATCGAAGCCACGATTTTTGCAGGCATCAATCAGGGAGAAATTGTTTTCATATGGCAAATTCCTCTGATCCCATCAGACTACCACTTCGAGTTCAAAAGTTTACAATTTTCCATTAAGGTTTGCTACGCCATCACCATCAATAAGGCACAGGGACAAACTTTGAAAGTGGCTGGTGTGCATCTGACAAGTGACTGTTTCTCCCATGGCCATTTGTATGTGGTGTGCTCCAGAGTTAGTTCACCTGACAGCCTGGTTATCCTCCAGCCAGAGAGCAAAACCAGGAATGTTGTTTACAGGGAGGTCCTGAGCAATTCATCTGAGGGAGGAATTGAAAGTCTATGCTATGCAAGTTATTAGCCTGGTTACGTAGACAAAAAAGGCACGGTTGCTGGTGGGCTTAACCCCATCTATTTGGGGTTTTTATGTGCCATCGGTTCCATAAGTGGAAGATGTAGACATTTTGGTGACGTAGCAATGTTTAGTACTCTAAGGAGTCCCAGACCACTCCTGAGTGAAAGAGTGGAATGTCTGCCAGTTTCAACTGAGGGAACGGAATGTGAGGCAACTGGCAGTTGGGACAGAGTTCAGGTGGGGAGGGGGAGTAGAATGTCTAACTCCTTCGCATCAGAGCGTGTGAATACAATACTATATATGAAATATTAATGCTCTGACAGTCATTTCGAAAAATCCTTTCTTAGCGAGCACTTAGAAGCCAAGAGGAACATGTGCCAAATTTCAAGTTTGTTGGCTTTACCGTTCTGGAAATTTCGGAATGAGTGAGTGTTATTTGGCTTTTATATATATAGATTTGACTCCTGTGGGTTAAAGGCTGTATGTAAGAACTGCCTGGGTTAAAATCGTCCTTTCCAAATCCTGATTTTTGTTTTGTTTTGTTTTTTATGAGAATTCATCCATTCTGGTCCTGTAGAGAACATTAGTATTTAAATGTTTACTTTGCCAAAGTCAAGTTTAAAGAGAGTTGTAGCAGAATTTCCTACAGACTGCAATGTGTTTGGCCAATCCTATCAAGGTGGCACCTGGATCAATAAATTATTTGCTGCTTTCTGCATGCTAATTACTCTCAGTTTAATTTTTAGTCAGATTAGACAGGCCAAAACAGCTGATCCAGTGAACCCTGTATAAAGGTAAAAATTATTTATTTATTTGTAATTGATACTTAGCACTGAATGCCTCTTTTAATCTACTCACAGAATATCATTTTTAAAAGCATTGTGAAAGCATTGCACAGCTTCAGCACTTCATTGGCTTCAGAGTGAACAATACAATTTTTCATATTTAATAAACAGAAACAAAAACTCTGCAGAACAAAAACCGTTCTAACTTACATACCAATTTGAGTGAAAGATAAGAGTTAGGAATAGAATTCTTTCTTAGCCAGGACTGATTTGTTTATTTAGTTGCAGAGAATTTATTTTCTTTTGCAAATTCAAGTAATACAGCTAAATACATTAAGATGGAATTGGAAAAATGTGCAGAAGCATCAGAGTTGGGTAGCTCACAAACAGTAACCAAAACAATAAAAGCAATTTTAAAAAACCATAAAAGTCCATCAAGAACCTCCTGGTTCTCCCAAATGCACACATCCCACACTTCTAAAAACAATTCCAGAGCTTCACTGAGATCCAGTCCAATATTATCTCAAGCTTTTAGTTCAAAATCAATATTGAAATTAATTTTGAAATCTTGATCTTGCCAGATCAAGAGAATTCCACAGCCAAGGGTGAGCTATTTGAAGTGTAAGAGACCAACAGAAATAGGAATATCCTAAATTAGGGGTGGGGAATGATGGCCCTTTTATTCCTTCTGGCTCGGGAATTCTGGGAGTTCAAGTCCACAAGTCATAAAGAGGCCATCATTCCCCATCTGTTCCTTAAATAAACCAAATGAGATTCAGCATCATTAACCACACAGTATTTGCTTTGGACAGAACTTGTTCCTTGAGAGTACTAAAGGATTTTTAAAATCTGGATTGCTGTAACAGATGTCTGAAGTTTAAAAAGCAGTGAGAAAGTTTATCTCCTCTCTTCTTGGCACCAGCTAATAACACTTTCAGATGCAGAAGAAGTTGTCTGCACTTAAGCAGAAATGGCAGAGGGAGCTGACCCTAGATATAGGGATGTTGGGACCCCAAAACAACAAAACAAAACACTAGAATAACAACACAAAGGGAATTGGATAGGAAGTTGACCAGGAGCTGCACCAATGAGTCTTGCTCAGTTAACTGGCTTGATGGAGCTTCTGGATAAAAAGGCAGTCTACATCCGAAGAGCTATGCCATCTGGGTAAAAAGTAGGCAGTTATAGTGATGTGTGTTTGGTAGTTGCCTACAGAGATTTGTCTGGCCTTGGTGTATGTAGAAAAGGTGAAGCAGATGACCTTTGGTGGGATCCCAGCTTGTCATCTCCTTGGCATTTCTAATAGCTTTGTGACATCATCTGTCTAAACTAAACTGTCAGCTACTGTTATCAGTTGTCAGAGTGAAGATGTCTTCCAGGATGTAAGTTGGTCTTCAGAAGGGCTGCTGAATTTTGGGAAGCCTCCCCCTTTTTATAGCAAACTTCCCAGAGGGGTAGTTCAAGGTTGAAAACTTAGAAAATGAAGATTAAAATTTTCGTATGGTTTTGGAAAACAACTAGGCTGAAAGCTACTATAGGGAAAATAATTTCTAACATTAGTAAATTATTAAAATAATTTAAGATGTTAATTTCTTAATGTCAAAAACTCCATGTAGTGGTAAAGGAAAAAGGAAGATCTCTTCATTCAAGCAGAAGAATGGTGTGAGCTGACCCATGGATGTAGGGATACCCACAGACAGTGGACTTCCAAAAGTCACATTAATAGCAGGAGCTGGATTACATCAGTGACTCTTGCTCAAGCAGCTAGCTTAATGGAGCTTCCACATTAAGAAGCACTCTACATCCGAAGAGCTAGTCCTCCTGGGCAACAAGATGGAAAATAGACTTTTTCTGATTTTTAGGAGAATCAACGCCTCTCCCAAAGGCATTGGGCCAGCACTCCTGGCTTACAGAAATGTGGGAGGAGTGATCATCGTTAGTATTTCAAAATGCTTAAAGGCCGGGAGAACTTGAGTCTCCTTGGAAACTCCACGGCCTTTTCATCCTCATCCAGCTATCTCTGGCATTAACTCTCAGTTACAGGTAGTCCTTGACTTACAACCATTCGTTTAGTGACTGTTCAAAGTGGAAACGGCACTGAAAACAGTGAGTTATGACCATTTTTCACACTTAACAACTGTTGCAGCATCCTCGTGGTCATGTGATCAAATTTTGGATGCTTGTCAACTGCCATATATTTATGATGGTTGCAGTGTGCTGGAGTCACTTTTTGTGACCATCTGACAAGCAAATTACTAAATTTGCAGATGATACAACAGTGGTGGAACTCATCTCCGGTGGAGATGAGTTTGCCTATCAAGATGAGGTAGAACTGTTGCTTTCATGGTGTGGAGACAATAACTTGGTCCTTAACACAAATAAGACTAAGGAGCTTATAGTGGACTATATATAGAAGGAATAGATCAGACATCAGCCCTTGGTTATCAATGGAGCCTTTGTGGAGCAAGTGACCAGTTTTAAGTGTCTGGGTGTTATCATAAAATAGGATGTGACCTGGGGCGCTCATATTGCAGCACTGGTCAAAAGGGCCTAGCAGAGATTATACTACCTGAGACTTCTCAGGAAACAACAACTGAATGAAAAACTGCTGGTGACTTCTACTGTTGCACCATAGAGAGTATCTTAACTTATTGCATCTGTGTATGGTTTGCCAATTGCACAGTGGCAGATAGGACGGCACTCCAGAGGGTCAATGTCATTGCCCAGGGGATCATTGGTTGCCCTCCCCCCTCCTTGGAAGAGCTGTATAGCTCCTGCTGTCTTAAGAAAGTTCAAAACATACTTAAAGATCCATCTCATCCTCGGCGCCCTTTTTTTGAACTATTACCATCTGGCAGATGGTACAGGATAATAAAAACAAGGACAAAGAGGCTGAAAAACAGCTTCTATCCCAGGGCAATAACCATATTGAATTCTACAGTAAAGTGCAATATTGGGTTTTCAATTTCAATTATATAGAATGTAAAGGATGTATGTTTGTGTTTTTATTTTTATAGTTATAATGTACACTGATTAATCTCGTACCATGTGCAATGACAATAAACTAAACTAAACTAAACTAAAGTCAATGGGGAAGTCAGATTCACTTAACAACTCTTACTAACTTAACAAGGGCAGTGATTTGCTTAACAATTGAGGCAAGAAAGGTTGTAAAATGAGGTAAAACTCACTTAACAACTGTCTTGCTTAGTGGCAGAAATTGTGGTTGTAAGTTGAGGCCTACTTGTATTTACTGTCAGTGAGTGAAAAAAAACCCATTTCAAGATGTAAGATGGATTTCTCAAGGGCTGCTGGATTCTGGGGAACCCTCCCCATTTTGTAGCCAACTTCTGAGAGGATTGGGATATTCTATTCTATTCCGTTAATATTAAAAGACAGAGTTGATTATTTTCCCTATTGATCAGGATCACATAGCAGCCTTAGCCTTTGAATTAGGGAAAGGTTTTTAAATTTGATAAACTACTATGGCTATGGAATCCATCAAAGCATGCAAAACCAAACTCAGGTTAACACTACAGGTTATGCTCGAATTATGACCCCAACTGAGTCCAAAATTTCTGTTAAGTGAGTTTTGCCTCAGTTTATGATCTTTTTGGCACAGTTGTTAAGTGAATCATTGCAATTATTAAGGGAAACATGGAGTCATCTAGCTTCTATTGACTTTGCTCACTGGAAGCTGGCTGGGAAGGTTATAAATGGTGATCACATGACCCCAGGACAATGCAGCTGTCATAAAATACATGCCAGTTGCCAAGCATCTGAAATTTGATCGTGTGACCATGTTGTGTTGCTGCCAACAATCATAAGCGTGAAAATCAGTCATGAGTCACTTTTTTCAGTGCTGTTGTAACACTGAATGGTCACTAAGTGGTTGCAAGTTGAGGACTGCCTATAATCAGTTCAACCCAGTATTTTTCCACTTTGGGTGATCTCTACCAAATGGATATTATTACAAGATCTAAATCTGCTGAATTGGAGCAAAGGGATTCTGAACAATAGACTCAGTCCATTCTTTTTTTCTCTCTTCTAGGGAATTTTTTAAAAAATGTTTTCACTGTCTTGGGAGAGGGGAAAAAGCCTGCAACAAGCAGCAACCCAGGAGCTGGTGTTCCAAATTCTATGGCAGGAACAATATGCAGACTGAAGGACACCCCCAAGGCCCCTAGGAGAACAAAACGTAAAATTTGTGACCGATATGGAAATCCAAAAAGTGGAATGGTGTGGTGAGTAGACAACTTCTGGTGTGGGGTGGGAGATTGAGAGGGAAAAGGAAGGAGTTCATTCAGGAGTAGACTCCTTCATGTAGGATATAGAGGAGCCATTCCTGCCTCTTCCTATGTTCAAGGTTGCACGAAGGGACTGGGCAGAGGCCAAAATGTTCCTGACCTACCAACCTTCCCCTCCTGCCAAAGTTCCTGAGTCCACACTGACTTCACATAAGTGTTTTTGCTTCCATGGAGCTGTTCTTCAACACTGTTCAGTGGCATTTGTCTAAATATTGACAACTGGAGAGGGAGATTGTGGAGACTGGGATTTGCCTTAGCCCCCTGTGAGGCTTCTCTCATGGCAGCTCCATGAATCACAAAAGCTTTTTAATAGATGGAATTGAGTCTCAAAGGGAAGGGCGTTGCAAAGACAGGCCTGATTTTGATGAGTTTTCTTCCTCTGGAGAAGACCTAAAAAAATAACTGAGGACCACGGCTCCTGTTTGTTCCTAAATTTCCCCACAGCCCAGGGAAAAAGAAGCTCTTCTTCATTAAAACAGAAACCCATCAAGCACGTAAGGCCCAACATGAGACTGCCTGTGCCAGAAGAGACCTGCGGTAAGCCAAAATTTTGACAAAGAGGTCCATGAGAGCAGCCAAAAAAGTAGGTACCCCTTGGTTCTAGTGGTTGCTGTGACTGGGTTTGGATCCTAGTCTCTTGCCCAACCTTGTTGTTGTAGTTGCGAAGTTGTGTCTGACCCATCACAACCCCATGGACAACGTTCCTCCAGGCCTTCCTTCCTCTACCATCCTCTGGAGTCCATTTAAGCTTACTCCTACTGCTTCAGTGACTCCATCCAGCCACCTCATTCTCTGTCGTCCCCTTCTTCTTTTGGCCTCAGTCCAACCTTAGTGTGGTGCAAAAGATTCCCCAGGATGGAGGGAGTTTCAGAAGGCTTGTAAGGTACCTCTGAAGGGAACACCATTAGAGACAAGACTATTCGGGGCAAGATACCCCATAGATTAATCTTCTAATTAAACTCATATTTATTGTAAAGAAGAAAATAAAACATCTTACTGATCTAAAAATAATTAAATTGTTACATTTTGGTAAAGTTCCTACCGGCTACATCTCTGCAGCCGGACTTCTCTTGGCAAGAGAACAAAGAAAAGTGTGAAGTAGAAAGAAAAGAATGCGGATGTACGTAGTTAGCTTACTGATAACAAAGTTGGCAAGCTATGGAAAAGTCTGACAGTCCAGAAATAATGAGCTCAGCTGGTAAATAAAAAAACACAGTGACAATCCCCTTCTTTTGCCAGTTGAGCGAATATCAGGTACATCATCAAATAAGGCACATCTTCTCACGCAGATACTCGTGTTGAGCTGCTGGAAGTGGTTTGTTGAGCATATCTTCAATCTGATCATGTGTAGATACATACTGCATTTTAACAAAACCTTTTTTCACTAATTGTTTTATGTTTTGATAATGGATGTCAATGTGTCTGGACCTAGAACCTGTGAAATGTGATTCAGAAATATAAACCACCGATTCATTGTCTTCCATCACTGTGATCGGTCGCATCGGGTGTGTCCAGATATCTGTGACCAAAGCATCAAACCAAGTTAGAGAATTACATGCATCTGAAACACAAGCATATTCAGCTTCAGTAGATGAACAAGAAACAAAATTCTGTTTACGTACTTGCCAATAAACAGGACATCCATTTAAGAACATCATATAACCTGAAGTACTTTTACGTGATTTCTTATCACTTGCCCAATCAGAATCTGCATAACAACATAATTCTGCATAATCAGTATGTGTTGGTTCTAACAATAACTTCATATGTTTAGTGTATTTTAGGTATCTCAGTAATTTCTTAACACATGTCCAATTAAACTCTTTTGCCTTACCTACGTGTCGAGACAAGAGATTGTATCAATCTATGTAGCAAGAGCACATTATTCAGGGTCTCAATTGTGGGGTCCTTGATGTTCTCTGAGCTTGGTGGTTTTCTTGAAGATGTTTATTTTTTATTTATTTATTTATTTGTTTGTTTGTTTGTTCGATTTATATGCCACCCTTCTCCGGAGACTCAGGGCGGCTTACAATGCATTAAGCAATAGCGATAGCAATAGACCCCAGTTTTATTGCTGCTCTGTTTCAGCTGAAGCTGAATGGGGAATTGGAAGTCCTGGTGCCTCGGAACAAGAACTTGTATACTCTTGCTATCCTGATAAATAAGTGGGAGGGAGGTGGTAGTTGGTGGCAAGCAAAGGAGGATGGAGAGAAATAGCAATAAAGAGAGAAGAGAAAAACTCCCTGGATTTTCCTAAGGGTTAGTAGGAGGTCAACTAATCTGTCCGAGAAATATAATGCATCTTTGAAAAACTGGCCCATTTGAAGGGCCCTTAACTTGCGGATAATTTTCCTTTGGACAGAGAGATAAGCTGTAGCAGAAGGTTAAGTCAAAAGAGGCTGGGACAAAGAGGAAGGAGAGGTTAGAGCAACATGGTTGACTGGATTCTTTTCCTCTCTCCTCTTGCTTCCTACTAGGTTCTGTTGGAGGACAACCAGTTAAACAGCAACACTGCAGGACTAGCTGTATTGCTATGTCAATCTCTGGTTTTGGTAGTGAGTATGGAAAATCTGTTTGCAATACTCAAAGAGTAAGAAGAGGGAGAATAAAAATCAGAAGAAGTAAAACATGACTTCATCTATTAGAACAGTTATACCTCCTAGGTCAGAAGGCGTTTCAGTCACTCACACCCTGGACAGCTTGCAATTTGACTACTACAGCAATCTCCACATAGGGCTGCTCTTGAATACGACCTGGAAGCTTCAGTTGGACCATGGCCAATTTAGCTGTCGACTTTGGATTCTCTGCTTCTTTTCCTTCTTGTTTCCTGTCAGGATCTCTTGGAAAAGACAATATTTTAAGCAGTTTCACTGTAGAACTAGCTGCATTGCTCACAATAGATGACATCAGTTCAGCCTTTTGTTTCTTTCGTAATCAGTAAGGAAAATTCGTCTACGCTACTCAGCGAATAAGAAGAGGGAGGCCTTTCAGAAAGTCACTCACACCCTTTACCTTGACTACCACAACCACGTCACATAGGGCTGGCCTTTTTTTTTTTTTTAAATTGAAAAGACAGTGCCATGTCAGGATAACAATGCAAATAAAGTACAACCAGAGAGAGATCCATGATAAATAACATACATGCTAATAACTATAACTGTACTATGTTAACGGTAATTGCAACAATACAACAACAACAAAACCAAAAGAAAATAAAATAAAACTTCAACTAAGTTTCTACTTACATTAGCTTATTTACAAATTTCTCCATATTATATCCATAATTTTATTCATCTTTGTTGTACTGGCATTCATAAACTTCCCTCTCATTTCTGCCTCTTTTCTCTATCCATTCATAAAATTTATTCCATGTCCTGTAATATTTTGAGTCTTCTTTATCTTTAATTTTTAAAGTTAATCTGTCCATTTCTGCACAATCCCAAATTTTCCTCAATTATGTCATCCTCCTGTGTGGTGTCCTTGAATACCACCAGGAAACTTCAGTTGGATCATGGCTATTTTGGACTCTTTCATCTGGGGTCACCAAATCAAAGAAGACGTTTTCCTTGTGGAGAGAAGAGGAAAATAGCTTGACCTCCCTGTGTCTCCTAGTGGTTGACCCAGATTGTCTTATTCTCTTGGGAAAAATGAAACTAAGGTTGTTGACTAAGAAGTTCACTGATATCTCTTCTTTTACCTTAAAATTTGTCTCAGCAAGGTTCCAGCAGCCATAGATTTACCCATGAAAAGCATGCTCCTTGACATGTTTTCCTGTGGATAGCCTCCATGGAAATAAAAGATGGGGATGTTCCAAAGCCGTTACATTCATCAACATTTCCGGCATTTCCTTTGGTGGTGTTGGCATGGCTGGACCGATATTCCAGAAAAGTGCATGTCATCATCTCAGGTTTTCCTTTCAGGTGGAGAAGTTGCTGGGACAGTTCCTTTACCTTACGCACAGAGGCCTTTGGCTGGCTCTTACCTCAGAGCATTTTTATTTTGAAGGTAAAGGCATAAGTGTCTCAGAAGGAACTTGAAGGAATACTTGGCCATTGTGAACATTAACAGAATCAGGTGTTAAAATTGTTGTTAAATGACCCACTCTGAACAATAACTGTGTGGGGGGGGTGTTATTGAGGAGAAGCATCAAGTACCATAAGGACATTGACTTGTCATAAGAGCTGTTTTTCTTCATGCAAAGATCTCTTCATTAAGATGTCTATTCAACTGTAATGTTCCAAGGCCATATGTAGGTTAGGGATACAGATCAAGAGCTATCCTATTTCTGTTGATCTTTTATACTTCAGCTAGCTTGGCCAAGGACAAGTTATAAGAGGTCAACAGAAATAGGAGAACCTAAACCTGTGGGACACTGTATTAAACATAAAAAAAAACTTTCTCTAAGGCAGAGGTTCTCAAACTCTGGTTCATAATTTTTAGGGAGAAATGAACAAATTTAAAAGGGGGTGCAAATTGGGTAGCCTTTGCCCATAAAAAGAGCCTGGTGGTGCAGCAGACTAATAGCCTGTTATTAACATTCAGCTGCCTGCAATTACTGTAAGTTCGAATCTCCCCAGGCTCAAGGTCGACTCAGCCTTCCATCCTTTCTAAGGTAGGTAAATTGAGGACCCGGATTGTGGGGGCAATAAGCTGACTTTGTATAAATATACAAAAGTATGAAGGCTATTGCTTAGCGCATTGTAAGCCACCCTGAGTCTCCGGAGAAGGGCGGCATATAAATCAAATTAAAAAAAAAAAAACTCAGTTGATGTGAGAATTAGTTTCATTTCCTTCCGAACAAATGAGTGGTGATCACATTAATTCATTTCTCATTTTAAAGACTAACAGGACCGTATGGCTTTTATTTAGGCAGAGTCTATCATTTAAAAGGTACTTTTTTCCTGATTGGATTTAGGGTTAAGCCTAGTGGAGAATGTACCTTGATGTTGAAAAAAAAAAATTGGCTGAAGGAGAAGAGGTAGAAAGTGATTGCAGATCTTAATGTCATGGCAACATGAATTTCCCAGGCCAAGATAAACCACAGACTTGGCACTGCAGTTTTTATGTAACCCTGGCCCAATGTTCACACAAAGATTAGGAACTAAGTAGCTATTTGAAACCTAGTTGAAAGTGAATGCCAGCTTTTAAAATCATAGTGACAATTACAGTGTGGTGGTGGTGGTGGGGTACAGTACATGAATGAGGAAAATACATGCAAGAGACTGAAGGGAAACAATAATAAGGATATAATAAATAATACTAGGATATGATATACTGGTATACTAGATTCTGTAACCATTAGGTTCCTGTAATACATATATGCCTTTATATTTGTATCTCCTATAACAAACATATTCTGTTATTAGGCCTCTGTAATGTATCTGGTATTTGTCAAACATATGTCCCTGCCATTGGACCTGAACCCATATCAATCTTCTCCCTGTTTTTTTTTTGTGCCATCTAAGAGCATGGTACGTATCTCCAAGGGATAATTTACACCTCAGTCCTAATTTATGTTTGATCTGGATAAGATCTTGTCTTCCAGAGCCAGGGGGCCAAAGTGGCCAATTGAGTAAACAAAGAAATGCTTAAGATAAAACTAATTGGGAAGTTTCTATTTCCCCTTGCAGGGCAACAAGGAATACACAAACCTAAATTAGGAGGCCAGAATTGGGTACTGAGCTGACGTCTCTGAGGGTATAAAAGGACGCCATACCTTCCCCAAGGTGTGGCTATTTCCTCGCATGCATTGTATCTGTATATTCTGGATATAGTTCCACCCAGTATTTTGTTTTTGGCCATAAATAAAATCTGGGGTTTTTTGCAAGCCTCGTCTTGAGTCTCTCTCTCTTTGGCATTCTGGTGACTCAAGTGTATTTTGGGACCTTACAAGACCAAACATAAAAATCAAAAGCACATGGGCAGTGCCTTCTCTGCTGTTGCGCCTGCCCTCTGGAACAACTCTCCCCACCCATCTGATGTGAGGTTGCCCCCAACCCTCCTATGTTTTTGTAAAGGCCTAAAGACAGGGGTGGGCTGCTGCGGTTCGCAGGGGTTCGGTAGAATCTATAGCTAAGATTCTGTGCAGTTTGGAGCTGGGGAAAATATTTAGATTAATCCAATTGGCTATGTATACTTCTAAATGCATTATGATACATGCAAAACTACCCTTTGCAAAAGAATCTGGCTATCCATTTGTATGAGAACATGATACATTCTTAGCCATACCTGATTTAGTCCTCAACGGGTAAAGGACACAAACCGAAAGAAGTATAGCCATTCTGGGCAAACCAGACCAAATTAAAACTGATTTGTTAAAATGTTTTGTGGGAACAGCAATAGAAGGCACTTGTTTTTGCTTATTCGTTTGCGAAATGTGGAGGATGTTTGTGCGTAGATCTTTGCATTCTTTTAAGGGGCACAGCTTAGGAGCAAAAGTGGGGAGGAACACATACCTACGTCTTTCCTGAACCATTCTGAAATTAAATTAAAAAAGAAGCAAAAATGGGCTGGCACCAGTTATAAGCATGGTATATTTTGGGTGCTGAGAAATAGTTTTGTGGGCCATATGTTGTTTGATTTTTTTTTTCCATTTAATAAATCAATATTTGCGTAGTGGATGCCCCATGCTCAGATTGAAAACAAATTTAATAAATTGCAGCATTTGACTGCAGAGTACTTGAGAAACTGGTTGAACTAGTACGATTTCATAGCTAGGGCTATCTGTAGAGCGTAAAACTCGTGACTCTCAAAAGGCTTTCAAAAATGTTTATTTGTGTAGTGAATTTGCTAATCTGTAGACACTGAACTTAATAGGTTTGGGAAGAAGGCTCTTCAGATGGGAAAGTGTACTAGATAACTTCAAAATATGACAAGTCAGCCCTGTTGTTGAGATAGGAACATTTTGTTTACTTTTCAATGGGACCCTGAACAGCTGTCCAAATGTTGTACTTGACAATATTAATGCACAGGTGTAATATGTGCGTTAAGAAGGTTCACATATGGGTATCTGTTTCCTCAGCTGGGTCAAAACAGTGTAGTTAAAGAAACCCCCTGTCATGTTTTTGTAAATTGCAAGTAGAAATTGTTATTGAATGATTATGCACATCGTTGGTGTCAACTTTTAGCTACGTATAGATTTTGTATTTATTTTTATTCTGCCTTTATTATTCTTATAAATAATCCAAGGTGGTAAGTGAACCTAATACTCCTTCCTCCTCTTCATATTTTCCCCAAAACAACAACCCTGTGAGGTGTGTTTCGTTGAGAAAGAATATTTGGCTCAAAGTTACCCAGCCATTTTTTATGCCTCAGGCAGGACTAGCATTCACTTGTCTTCTGGTGATTCACCCAGTCACCCAGCCAGCTGTTATACCTAAGGCAGAACTAAAATTCATTCTCCTGTTTTCTTTCTTTTTTTCTTTTCCTTCCTTCCTTCCTTCCTTCCTTCCTTCCTTCCTTCCTTCCTTCCTTCCTTCCTTCCTTCCTTCTTCTTTCTTTCTTTCTTTCTTTCTTTCTTTCTTTCTCTCTCTCTCTCTCTCTCTCTCTCTCTCTTTCTCTTCCTTCCTCCCTCCCTCCCTCCCTCTCTCCCTCCCTTCCTTCCTTCCTTCCTTCCTCCCCCACTCCTTCTCTTACGTCTTCTCTTATTTTCTTCCTTCCCATCATTTCTAGCATTGAGGGTATCTCTAGAGAGTTTTGCATAATATGCATGAGATCTCATAATTTGAGCCTGGTCATTTGTGTTGACTAAGAAGTCTGGGTTGATTTGTTTGACGATCTATCCAGTTTGTTTTCTTGGTACTGGAATTCTCAGGAGTTTTCTCCAACATTTCTGTGTATCTTATAAAGTTAGTGAAGTGTGACAGGGAATAGATGTGTATATGTTTTAAGAAAAAGTTAAACTGTTTAGGAAAATGGGAGCTGAGCTGTTCTTCCTCAAGACAGAAGCTGTATAAAGAGAACAAGGTACAGAAAAGTGCTATGCCCTTTGAATGATTTTGGAAGAGACCCAAAGAGTTCAGAAGATGTGAAATTTCACATGTGATACTTGCAAAGAAAGGGAGTTAGCTTCACTAAACACAATTGATGTTAAAATGAGATTGGTTCAAACTGTTGGACTAATCAGAGAAGATATTTGAGTCCATAACAGAAGCTTAAAAGAATTGAATACAGTCTGGAACCACGGCCTACAATTTTGAAAGCAAAATCCAATGATCCAGAAACGCTTGACTTT